TTGAAGTTGAGCCACTGATGTCACATGGACTGTTTTACCGATGTCCTTGCTACGTTTCTGTCTGGGAACATTTCAGCTGGTGCTGGCTATGGGAGGGTCAGAGAGCTTTCAGATTCCATCAAAATATCTTAATTTGTTTTTTGACGATGAACGGAGGTCTTATGGGTTTGGAACGACATGAGGGTGAGTAATTGATGACAGATTTTTCATTTTTGGGTGAACTATCCCTTTAAAAATGTAATTACAACATTTCGGCGCCGATAGCCTCGTGGTTAGTGTGTCGACATATACAGTGCAACTGCGCTCAAGGCGACCCGAGTTCGATTCCCGTCTCGAGGTCCTGTGCCGATCCCCCCCGCCTCTCTACCCAATACTTTCCTGTCATCTCTCCACTGTCCTGTCTGAATAATAAAGGAATAAGAAGCCCAAATGTAACACTCCAAAGAGAAAGGAAAACTTGAAATCGCATCATATGACCCCTTTAAAAAAAAGTAACTACAACATGATTCAAGTAACATTTTCTTTATTAACCATCTGCTTAAAGAAAGTTTTATTCCAAGTGCAGCATGCATGAAGTATATGGTAAATGGTGCAAGGTGTTAAATGTAAAACAAATGACTTGTTAAATATCTTTTCAGAAAATATGCATGAAATATGAAGTACAAACCTCTCTTAAACATCTCTGTTCAGAAATAATATAAAATAAGGCAAAATGGTGACATTCAGTTTTAAAGGTCAAATCAAAAAGTCAAGACAATTCAAATTTAAAGCAACTGACAATATTACAGCAGTAGTAGGCAATTATTAACAGTAAATGAAAATGGCAGCAGCTTTCAGCCTATCAGCATCATGCAAACATCAAATATCAAGTTGGCAGTAATAGTTCAGCACAGGTTTCTGCTTTTCCAGTGTTTTTCTATGTAAACATGCACTTGATAGGCGTGATTTACCATTGCACTCGCTTCTTTTGCAGTGGCTCGCACATGAAACAGCTCTAAAAACGCAAGTTAAAAGAAGTTAAACTTTCGTCTCATAACTTTGCGTTTTTATCTTAACTGTTACTGTATTGTCAGCGTGTTTAATTGTAGCATTTGGTAATATTTTTATTCAAAACTGTGATTGCTCGATTTAAAAAAAAAAAAGAAAGAAAGAAAAATGCCAAAACATTACATTCCAATTAATCGAATGTACTTGTCCAGCCCTAATTTCATCCTGATCCTGTCTATCCAGACTTATTTTATACACACGCACACACATGCCTACTAGTTGTGCTAGTATAAGTTCACTTTCCTTTGTGTCTGTTTCCACTTACACCGGTTCAGTGCAAGGAATGGTGGTTTCTCAACAATGTGAGCAATCTTGTTTTTATGACATTCTTTACTGATGGTATCGTCCATTTGCTGCGTAGGGTTTTACGTGTGTGTGATCATTGAAGGAGCACAAACTGCATTTGTTTCGCAAGCCAAAGTGCTCTGAAAAATAACAAGGATTATTGTTGCAAGCAGACGCATATGTCAGTGTAACCAAGGCTCAAGTTGAATCTAAAATGAGGCTGAGAGCTTCTCAGGCTGAAGATTGTTATTGTTTGTGCTGCTTTCAAGGTCAGTCCAGGGTTTTGATGTGTTCCTGGTGTTTTCTGCCTCATTCCGAAGGCAATTGAACTGTTTATGAAGCCTCTCTGCTGTGGAGGTCAGTGATCCTCAGTGTCTGTCAAGTATTGATATTATTCTACAGCAGATGGACCTAATTACGCAACTCTATCCAAGCAAACTGCTCAGACATCAGGCAAAACATCTTCAGAGAATGGATAAACAAGTCCACAAACTCTTGAATGAAACTTTAACATTTGATGTAACCCTTTAATAAATAATTTTATAAGTAAGGCAATCTGCATGGATGCATTTATCACTCATTGTCCTTCATTCGAGACTGTCTGGTGTTGGGCAATGTTGGTTATATATTGGAAATTTTATAATGCATGCTTTATGCATACCTGTATTCTGCGCATTAAATAATCTTCTGTTTCTTTCACACATTCAGGAGCAGAAGATGGACCCAGCCCAGGGTTTAGACTTCCATCACTCCACCCTGCCGCCTCTGAGACGAGCCAAATCACTGGACCGCAGGACCACCGAATCAGTCATGACAGTAAGACAGATCCATCTCTCTGTTTTCTCTCAGCATCACTCCGCACAGATCCTGGACAGTCATAAGGCATTTCCATTATAATCAGCGAACATTGTGTGTGAACCGCTGCCAAATTCTCCACACTGGCTCTGTTGTTCTCTGAGGTTCAAAGGTTAAAGAGAGCAGCAGCTGGATTTGGCATGATTTGAAGGAAAAGATGGACTACTGTTTTGGAATATATTAGTCAGCATGATATAAAGAACATCTCGATTTACACAGACTTTAGCATTAGATGGAGATCACTGCTGTCCAAAAATCAATCATTGCTGATTTTTAATGCATTGTACAGGCTACAGTGATGTCATCCGGTGTCCTTTTTTAATGGACATCTTTATTATTTTAAATAACATAACTGCTTCATTCTTTGTTTATAAATTGCAAAAAAAACTTGTCAAATTCATGTGGTGTGAGCAACAAGCAGAAAGAATTTAAATATCGCATAATTGGACCTTACAAAGCAAAGTTGAGGTTGTAAAATGTCATTTGGTGTGACTCTCAAAGATGTCAGTTATAGTTATGATTTAATACTTCATGATATTTGGGGGAAAAAAAAAGTTTTACCTTGAAAAAATGTATCTTGAGTACTGATTCTAAAGTGTTTTAATGAGTTTAGTATAGTTAACTAAAACTAAAACCATAAAAATAATTACTTTACGTGAGGTAAAATAAACTTTAACTAAAATATAATAAAATTATAACTGGAATAACAATAACTACAAATTTATATAGACATAGTAATAATAAAAATGACTATAACTAAAATGGAAAGTAGGGATGTAACGATTCACTAAACTCACGATTCGATTCATGATTATTATAATTTTTTTTAACAAAATTAGCAGAGCTGAATGAGATGCAGATTCACTCTCTGCCAGCAGGTGGCGCTTAAAGCGTTTCCTTGGTTTCCGCTGTAAACAAAGCAGCGCTGAACTTATGAACTTTAATATGCGTTATACAGAGGCAAGATGAATAGAAAAAATACCATCTAAACTTTTCTAAAGACAGTAAGTTCCCCTCAGACATGCATTCATATAAACTCCTACCCCTAAATGAATCTCGATTTGTTTAGCATCTCAACCGATTTGAATCGTCACATATTTGAATCGATTTTCAACCAGCTCGCAGTTAATCGTTACATCCCTAATGGAAAGTATAAAAAAATACTTCTAAATATTAATAAAAACTATAATTGTATAAACTATAATTTAAAGTGTATAAACTATAATAAAAATTAAAAGGAAAATATAAAAAATTCAAGATATTAATAAAAACTATAATAGTATTTAGATAACTAAAACTTAACATGAAAATGGAAAATACAAAAATAAGCACTAATTCAAAATTTTAATAAAAAGTATAATAGTATATACATTTCTAAAACTTTCAAATTAACATGAAAACAGACAAAAATTAAAATAAAAAATTCTAAATGAAAATGGAAAATATAAAAATAACAATTACTTCAAAATATTAATTAAAAGCAATAATACTATATCAGTAATACTAAAATAACACTGATGAACAAGTGTTAAACTATTTATTTATTTTTTAAATAGATTTTTCCTTGATCGTGGACACTCTCATTTGTCTTTGACCCTTAAAACTTACTGCTGGTATCTCCACTCAGACTAATCCTGGTCGCCCTCTTGTTTCTCTGTGCTATTTGTGTACTTCATTGTTGTAAGTCCTCGGATGTCCTATTCCTCGGTGTGTCGCGTGTTCCTCTCTCCTGCCCAGGTCATCTCCAGCTCGTCCTGCATCCAGCCGCGTGTTCCTGTCCTCTCACGTCCGTGTGCGCAGTCTCACCATGTTATACATGTTGCTCTCTTTTCAGTCTGTGTGTATGGAGAGCAGTCCTTATCTGTGTGTGTTTGATGAGCCTGTGTGTAGCTCTGTCCAGCACTCTTAACACACAAATGCCTGTTGTGTTGCTCCTCAGCGAGCTGTGAAGTACAGATGCTCTGAACTGGCATGTGGAGTGTGTTTCTCCTGTCTGTCAAAAAGACAAAACGGTGGGTGAAATAAGTATTGAACACGTCACCATTTTTCTCAGTAAATATATTTCTAAAGGTGCTGTTGACATGACATTTTCACCAGATGTCGGTGACAACCAAAGTAATCCATACATGCAAAGAAAACAAAACAAATAGAAATTAAGTTATGTGTCAACAGCACCTTTAGAAATATATTTACTGAGAAAAATGGTGAAGTGTTCAATACTTATTTTACCCACTGTAAGTGACTATCAAGTCAAGTACTCCAGAAAAACACCCTGGTTTGCACCGTTTTCTCTCACCCAAGAGTGTCAAAGAGCAGAAAAGGCTTGTTGAAGTGTGTAGAAATGAGGCGTGGATGTGAGTAAATGCTCACGATCAGCAGCGGCTGTTCTTCACTCGGCACACCTGACATTCATTCGTTCAGCTCATCATGCATGAAGATCTGTGTGATCGCACACGATATGACACACCTAACTCCACTGCTTCTGTTTATTTACAACTGTTTCCCTCTTGGATTACAGCCAGACCTGCTGAACTTCAAGAAGGGTTGGATGGTGAAACTTGATGAACAGGGCCAGGTGAGCTTATGTTTCTCTGTAAACAATAAACAAAAATAATCTCTCACTGATTAGATCTCACAGTAGTGTATGGAAATTAAATACCGAACCCAAGTGCTGGGCAATGTTTCACAGCAGTGGGAAATACATAAATAAACATAAATAAAAGCATTGCAAATGTTGCTGAATTTAGTGCTTTTTAACTTGATAATTATATTTCCTAAACATGTGTTTTTAGAACTTTTTTTTTATATATATATATTAAAATCTTTCAGTATTATTATTTTTATTATATGTAGGTGTTATTGCTGTTTATTACTCTTTCATTATATTATTCATAATAATACCAATTATTATTAGTATTTATAATAATAATAATAATTTATATTAATTAAACTTATTTAATACTTATGTTATGTCATATTGTAATGTATAGTATTATATGGTGATGCATCGAAATTTTGTTTTCATTTAGCCAAAAACTAAAATTGTATTTAATAATAAAATAATATAATTTTGTTTAGTACTAAAAGTTTATTTAATAATAAATTAGTCAAATTTAATATAAAAAGTCAATGCTCAAATGCAAACCTTTAAATTGCTCATAAGGCAGGTTTTATAACATTTTAATGATGCATTAATTCGTTGTGGAAATATAGACATTTAAATGGTGTCTGTAATAACTTGTTTTAATCACAGATTTATTCAAACACATTAATAATGAAGACCGTAATATAAGGAATGGCTTTTTTAATGTAAAATTTCCGGCCTTCGGTTTTTGGTGGCTGAAATTTTGGTGCATCGCTAGTGTTGTATCATTTATTATTATATAATTTCCTCTAAGTCTTACATATTATCAACCTGTGGCTTAACAGCTTAAAAAATAAAGTTTAGCAATGAAATTGTCTTATTGACCTCTGTATTTGATGTTCAGCGTTTACAGAACACGTTCTTAGTGTTAAATGCATCATCTCTACTTACTGATCTGCTTTCTGACTTCTCGTTGATCAAAGTTGTTCAGCTCAAATGGCCCTGACTCAAAGCACTGATGCTTTTAAAGGGCATAGTACACTTTGATTGCACTGCAGCAATAGGTCAAAGTTGAAAGGATAGAGCCTCTCAACTTTATCACCATGGTCTTTAAAGAAGGATAAATGTCTTAAAAACAACCTGTCCGTACATCAGACACATGCAGGATCCTCCCGGACCAAGAGCTCTCTCTAACATTATCAATTTAATTTTTATCTGTATTATATTTGATCTATTCCAATATCTTATTTCATTTGCCATTTTATTATTTCTGTTTTAGTGGAAGAAGTATTGGTTTGTGCTGACAGATCACAGTCTACGATACTACAAAGATTCTATTGCTGAAGAGGTAGTTCACAATGCTGCAATAGCAGTTTGTTTTTCCAGATTTTTTCCCTCTAGATTTGCATTTAGCCTTATTGCTGTAATGATAACATTTCTCTCACTGAATCAGTGTTTTTTTTTATGTCAACAGGCGTCTGATCTGGATGGAGAGATTGATCTCAGTACATGCTATAATGTTACAGAATATCAAGCTCAACGGAACTATGGCTTCCAGATTCATGTAAGTGTGTCTAAAGCTTATTTTTATTTCATATTTTATGTAATGTTATTTTACTTTTTTTTTATTTTATGGACTTTTTATTTTTGTTGTATTTTATGCACTTTTTATTCAAATTTTGTTTTATGGATTTTTTTTTGTTTTATGTCGTTTTTATTTTATGGACTTTTTAATTTTATATTTTATTTTATAGACTGAGTTTATAGACTTTTTATTTATGTTGTACTTTATGGACTTTTTATTTTATATTTCATTTAGTTTCATGGATATTTTATTTTATGGGCCTTTTAAACTTTATTTTGTAACTTTTTTTAATCTTACAGACGTTTTATTTTATGTTTTATTTTTGGTTTTATTTTATTTTTGGACTTTTTTGTTTTATGGAGTTTTTATTTCATGGCCTTTTTTATTTTATATTTTATTTTGTTTTATGGACATTTTTATTTCATTTTATAGGCCTTATTATTTTATAGTTTGTTTTTTTATCTAATGGACTTTTTATTTTATATTTTATTTAATTATTTAATTATATTTTAGTGACTGTTTTATGGAGTTTATATTTCATGGACTTATTATTTTATAGAGATTTTAATATTATATTTTGTTTTGACTTTTTATTTTTGTTTTATTTTATGGATTTTTATATTTTCTTTATTTTTTCTTTAATTAGATTTGTCATGTTAATAAGTTTTTTTTAGTTGTACGTGGTTCTTGTAATGGATTGTCCAAGCACTGCAGGGACAGATAGTCCAGTTCTTGACCTGAATGTGTCTTTTTATTGTTTTCCAAGAGTTTGAAGAATTTATTAATCAGAAGATTCTTCTGATCTGTTTTTGCTCACACCAGACTCAAGAGGCGGTGCACACACTCTCCGCAATGACTGCAGGAATACGCCGCAACTGGATCCAAGCGGTTATGAAAAACGTCCGGCCGTCCACTGCACCAGATGTTGCTAGGTGTGTTACCATGCATGATGCAGTAGCACAAAAATATGTTTTTGTCTTTAAAATACTTATGTTTTGCATATAAAATGTTTTGAAACAGCCTGACAGATGAGCACGCTTCCTGCGGCCCGTTTGAGAGTCTCGCCCGGCCTGACATCACCCAGGACTCCCCGTCCTCTGAAGCCTCAGTAGAGCGGGAAGGTGGAATAAAGAAGAGCCGAGCGAGAGAACGGAGGCGAGAAGGACGGTCCAAAACGTTTGACTGGGCCGAGTTTCGTCCCATCGCCCAGGCTCTGGCGCAGCAGAGAGCGCACGAGGCAGACACCTTCCAGGCTGAGCTAGCCGAGAGAAACAAGAGGAGGGAGGAGAGGCGGAGGAGGTACGAGAGCGTCACCGGCTCGTCCTTCGATCCGCCCGCTGACGCCGCAAAGATGGACTTTGAGAGTGTGGGCGTGGTCCAGGTAGATGCTCCGCCCCCATCGGTGGAGCGGCAGCAGAGAGTGGAGGACGAGATCGAGCAGCATTGGCAGCAGGTGGAGAAGACACCCATCAGGGAGGAGAGGAGGGTGCCTTTGCCCTCCACACATCCCAACAGAGACGCATCAGAGCTGGAGAAACTCGTCGAGAGCTACAAAAAAGGGGTACGGGCTTCAAAATCCAATGCACAGTTATTACTTTAAACTAGGGTTGTCAAACGATTCAAAGTTTTAACCTTAATTACATGATGTGCCGAATAATTAATCTAATTTAACACAAAATCAATCACACATTACACAAGTTGTTAGGAGTTATTGTGTTAGATGTTGGTTTTTAAACCAAATGATACTTTAAATATGTAACTAAAAGTGGTATTAGGTGGCTGTGAGTCATTGAATCATTCATTCAACTGAGTCAATCAAACAAATGATTCATTCAGAAGTGAAGCAAGTGACTTGTCTTTATGAATGAGTCACTGAATCATTGAATCACTCGATTTGTTCAAAAACGTTGATTCATTCAGTAACGAATCACAGCTGTGTGTTGTTCAGAAAACAATAACAGTTCTGCTGTGGCTTTGTTTGGAACCATTTTCGTTTGTGAAACTGAGAAGAATATTGACAATATTGTGTAGTATAAAATTTTGCAGAATTTTAAATTCTTGTTAATTGAACTGTAATGAAGCAATATAACGTTTGCACTGCTACAGATATTGGGGAGAAACTGCACTCTTGCTGGTGTGATATTGATACTATATCATATGATATAAATATGAGAGGGTCATTTTTTTGCACTCATATCTTGAATTGTAGGCTTATATAACTGCATTTTAATAGACTCCATCACACAGTCAGTCGTCCTGAATCGTGTTCATCAGGTTTGGAGACAGTGGCGTTATTTTCTCTATAATTAATCGCACCAAAATAATGTGTTCAACAGCCCTAGTTTAAACATCCAGAGTTGAAAAATGAAATATGATATAATTTCAGATCATAACTTCTCTTTGTGCTGTGGACATTGTTAGGTTGAAGAGCTGAAAGCTCAGTTGGAGAGCTGCCACCAGCAGTTAATGGACTCCAATCGGCACAAGCTGGAGCTGGAGGGTCAGCTCAAAAACGCTCTTGAGCGCGAACAGCAGATCCGTGCTGGTTACATTTCACCGGTAGGCCACATTTATGTCATGGTTTTCATAGCGTATTCAGGTATTGCCTGATTGAACACATAGTGTGTCATTATTAGGAGAAGAACAAACACATGGCTTCCATCTTTATCATCGAAGCTGCAAACGCGTGCTTTGCATGTCTAGAGACCGTTGCATGTAAACGAACAGTGCTCTTTTGCCTCTACTTAAGATGCCTCTTGCCATGTTCAAGCAAAATGACATTAAAAATTTCAATTTCATGCAAGCTCTATTGCATGTTCCAACATAGAAATTATTAACAATAACTGAACATGAATTAATAAATATACAATGATGGCATGAAAAAATACTCTGAACTTACCATGCCCTCCAGATACATTCATACTCAATGATACACACTTTAAATTACTGGAAAACATTTACAGCATATTATTTAAAAAAATATTTTGTTAACACTTTACTTAAAACCATTATGTATAATGGATTAAAAAGGTATTCGTAATGTATGTTGAAATGCATTATTAATAAATAATTGTAACCAAAGTTAAAATGCATTATAATATTTGAGGGTTTGTTTACAATGTGTTTTAATGCATTATACTTTCTAAAGGTGTAACAATGAATAGATAAGTATTATAGTGTATTATCTCTGTGGTTAAGGTTGTTCATGAGATCATACAATGCATTGTACGGTGCATTACAATGCATAATTAATGCATTAAAAGTACTTCTATACTTATTAAATATATAAAGGATAAAAGTAAAATGTGACCAATGTTTTTTTTAAATAATATACTTTTATTAGTAGTATTTATGTAATGAATGTTTAAAGTAGGGCTGCACGATTAATCGCATGCGATATTTAACGCGCATCTTGTCAGAAAGCCGGTTCTGTAATCAGCGGTAAATTTCCATCACCTGCGGGCTTTCACATTGAGCAGCATTAACTACACAGAGCCGTTGTTCACTGATGAGCTGCGCAAAAAATCGCACGAATATGAACGTGGTTTAGCGCAGCTCGTCAGTGAACAACGGCTCTGTGTAGTTAATGCTGCTCAATGTGAAAGCCCGCAGGTGATGGAGATTTACCGCTGATTACAGAACCGGCTTTACTGATAAGATGCGCGTTAAATATCGCATGCGATTAATCGTGCAGCCCTACTTTAAAGGTTTGAAAAATAAGAGGAACACAAAGTTTTCCATGCCAGATCTCTTGCCTATTTGTATTTTCTCAAAATCATTGAGTATCAGTGTATCTTAAGGGTGTTGAAAATTATTTATAAATGCATCTTTTGCAGAATAGTGCTACATGAACATTGACATATGAAAAGATGCCTATTCAGGAATACATGCATGATGTGTTTTATTCATATTTAACATTTATTCATTTCATTTTAACCTTATTCTTGACTTCTTCCATATATGCTATAGAGTACGTCTGTGTATTCGTGTGTGTGTTATGTGTGCGTATATGTTTGTCTTTAGTGTTTGTTCAAAATATTGTTGCATTGTCTTCTGAGCTTAATTTGGACTTCTCAAAATTCTTTTATTGACTTATGGCATTAAGTAGCTACAGTTATTTTTTTGTTCTTTAACATCTTGTAGTATATCTTTTCAGTATACCAAAATTAAGGCTTATATGTATTAAAAGCAAATGTGTGGTGATTTTTATCTTAAGCATGGCATTGTTCCACAGAAGGTGATGCTGTATGTTGAATATCTGTCCAAGACACATTTTCATCTCCACCAGCTAGTTTTAAAGGGTTGTCTTTTACGTATTTATTTATTCAGGTTTGCTATAAACAGACACAGTAGGGGTTGCACAGTAGTTCAGGTTAAATTGTTCCTCAAAAGGCCTGCTGGCTTAACTGGATGGCATGTAACTGTTCTGGCATTCTTAGCTAGCACTAATTTTGCATTACTTACCCCATGAAACAACTCTTTAACCTCTTAATATGCATGCATTGTTTCGAATTACTAACCTTTTGCCATTAATTTTTTTTCTAGCATTCTAATGCGCCTTATTCCATGAAAGAAGCTGAATGAATTTACTCTCCCTTTAACCTTAATAGATTGATTCGACACAGTTGTTGTAATAAAATGTACATTTACCTCAAATCCTCAACACTGTTCGTTAAAAATGATTAGCGTTGTTCATCTGTGCTGACTGTTAACCAACTGTCTGGTCCCTTTTCCAAGCTGGAGTCCCCTTTGAGTGTTGAGACAGAGCCCCAGATGAAGAGGACTGAACTGGTTAGTTCTCAAGCTCAGAGCTTAACAAAGAAGTACCAGGAAACCAAAGAGATCCTGCAGCTTCAAGAACTGAAAAAGCGCAACATGCAGGCACAGCTTGGCCTTTCTCTCTCACACTGGCCCGCAAAGGAACCTTACTTTTCTGACACCAAAAAACCCGCCACCTCTGAGGTCTGTCCCTCAAACTCCATTCAAAAAACGGTCAGCTTCATGCTTCAGGATAGCGAGGGAAAGATCAGAGAGCTAGAGAGCTTGATAGATGCCAGTGAGCCTCTGACATTAAGAGAGCTGATAAAGCTCATGCATTCACATAGCGAATACGTTGGGGTAGAAAGTCCTCAAGGACAGGAAAGAAGTGAGTCAGTTGGAGAAATGCCGCAGAAACTGTTGGAAAGCCTCAAGAACCAACAGGAGAATGAGACAATGAGGAAAAGCTTGGAAAAGGCTGGAGACTGTATTCGGGACTATGAAGCTCGTTTGGTCACCATGGAGGACATGTTGGGAAGAGTTCATAGGCAGAAAATGGAGAGTTCGTTTGCACTAGGTTGCTCGAGGGAAGACCATCCGGATCTGTCGCAGCAGGTGGAGTTGCTCACGAGTGAAAACGTAGCTTTGAACCAGCGCTATCAGGAAATTGTGAACCAGTTGATAGAAGCTGATCGAGAGATAGACAGGCTGAAAGCTGAGCTTTGTAGACTACGTAGCGGTCAGCAATATCCACATTCCAACATGGAACAGGAGCAAGAAAACAAAGAGACCTCTGAGAAAAATGTGTACAAGGGAGAACTCCATGAAAAGTCACAGAAGCTACAAGAGGCTCTTATTAAATTGGAAACTCTTGGTAATAATTTGAAAGATACAGAGAAAAGATTGCAACTTAAAGAAGCAACTCTTAGGGGTCTTGGATTTCTGGTGGCAGAAAGTGAAAAAGATGATAAAGAGTTAGATTCGGAGACAGATGACCTCAAGCGCCAATTGGAGGTCCTTCAGTCCAAGCTTTCAGAGAAGGACAAGCAGCTTCAAAATGCTGAGCAGGTCTGTAGAGAACTTCAGTCCCAGAATGCGAAACATGAAGAGACCGCAAGGATGTGTAGTCAGATGCTTGTAGATGCTCAGGAGGAAATTAGGATGTTGAAAGAGAAGGCAGGCACTCAAGGTACGTTTGGTAGTGAACCAGGAACAGAAATTGGGCGCCAAGAGTTGATGCAAAAACTCACAAATGAAGGTGTAATTGAGGAAGTTGTGGAAGAGTTCAAGAGCAAGTCTAAATCTCTTAATCATCTACTTGACATGTTGGTAATAGGCAGTAAGACAGATTTGTCCAACACCGGCATGGACACCAACATTTTGGATGAGAATCATGGAGGAATGATGGAGATGTTTGAGAGAATGATTCTACATAAGGTTTTAGCTGGTTTAGAGGACTGTCAGAAAGGCTCCGAGGTTGAGCAAACCCTAAGGAATGTTGTAGAACGTATGCTAGTGGATAATGAAATGCTGCTTCTTATGAATAAGCTCTCCAACTTCCAAGAACTTCAAAGTGACGCAAAACCTGCATCTTGCACAGAAAAAAGCGCTGGATATGGAAATGCACTGAATGAAGAGACAATGAAATCGAATGTTTTGAATCGGTTGCTCGATGATGCTGCCAAACCCTGCGTCATGAAGACTCTCGCTGAAGTCATTCAGAAGAAAGTGGCGTTATTGAATCAAGCCGCTTCTGCTCTTAGAGAACGAACTAATGAGGAGCTTCAGTCGTTGGCTTTGACTCTGTCAAGCTGTGGCTCTCAAAGAACCTGGTCGGAGTATGTTCGTGAGGCCATAATGGACATAACACACATGTACTTGGTAGTTCTTCAAATGTTGCCAAGGACAAGACCGTCAGACCTGTCTGCATGTGCAAATTGTGCTGATTTGAGAGCACAACTCGAGTCTGAGAAGCAGGTGATGTCAAGCGTTCAGAGTCCCATCAGTGTAACCCACATTCAGATCGAAGGAGAACCAATTGACTCTCTGGACAAGGCCATACGGCTTCAGGACATGATGGCCAAGCATAAGAAGGAGCTGCGAGAATTAAAGGAGGCGTACGAGCAAGAAGCAGAAAAGCTGAGGCTGGAAGTGGCCAAGGCTGGTGAGACTCTGAGACTGAGATCTGAGGAGAACGTGAAAGAGATCGACTCTCTGACGTTGTGCATGGAGAACCTGAAGAAGAAGCACGAGATGGAGCGTAAGGACTTAATAGCACACTTCAATCAAGAGATGGAAGAGCTTACGGATGCTGTCGGCCCTGTTGAACCTGCAACAGACGGCGAGCCGAACTCAACTTCCCTCAAAGTGCGGATCCAAAAGCTCGTGTCCCGGCTGTCCGAACTGACTGAGGAAACAAATCTGCAAGATCGTGATGCGACATTGCTGCGTCTGAAATACGAGAAAGACCTGGAAAACCTAAAGGTCAAGGAGTTCCGTGCCCTTGCTGTTCTCCGTCTGTATTGACTTCATGTGGCAAACTTAAACCTGATCCTTTCCCCTCCTTTTCTCATACTAACCCTGCTTTGTGGTGCTTTGGTCTGGCCTAATATTTCTCACCAGTGATGCATGGCTGCTAACAATAGGTTTGCATGTACGGTTTAACTCTAGGAATTTGGATGAGCCAACTGTGATGAGAGGAAAATACACCATTCTCTCACTGAAGAAGCCATTTCTAAATAATTTAAGTCCAATGGAGAACAATTAAGAATCCATGTGTCAGACGTTTTGGAGAATGCATAACTGCATACTCCTTATGTCAGCAAGTCTGAAAACGTATGTGGTTCTCCTGGTTGACTTTGATCTGAACTTGTTCTCACACTTAACCTCTTTGCCTGATTAACAGCCAGTGCTCTTTGCATAAATTGCTGCTTATCTTTGATAACTGCAAAATGCCAGCTGCTTAACTTAATAACAAATAATGCATGACAATAACTGAAATGTTTTATTTTAAACAATTGTTTTAAGTACATATGAAAGTATTTGTGAAAGAATTGGCTTTGAAGAGAGAGATGATTAAATTGCGTTATGTATTGTTAGAATATAACAAATTTAGATAATAAATTATATCAATTACAGTATTGCATTGTTGCACCAACTAAGCGGAACATCTCGCAATTTAAAATTTCCAAGTACTGACAAAAAAAACAAAACAAAAAAAAACCGTTAATGTTTTGTACTCTGTCACTCAGTTACTGATTAAAAACACATGCATAATGGGATAATGGGAAAATTTAGAATAATTTCAGTAGTTTCTATTATATTTTGTCAGTGTGATGTGGCCTTAAAGACCAGAGCAAGTCAGTTCCTAACTAGATCATTTTGCGATTATGGACAAATTATAAACATTAAATTATGAGGCCAGTTTCAAATGGCGTTGGCATTGGTGTGCAATGGTTATTTACTTTTTTCTTTTTCTTTATTATTTGCAAAACATAATTATTTACATAATTTTTGCTTTGGAGTTGCAGGAATATTTTCTCATTCCCCCTACTACTATTTATTTTCTTGCAGTTTGTATTGAACATTTAGCGTTTAAGTTGGTATGTTACTTCTTACAGTTTATTCAATTTATTTATTTTTACGATTTATTCAGTTCCTTTAAGATTTAAAAAATACATATAATGGCAAAAAAATAGCTCTAAATGCTAAATTTGTTATCAATATGTGCTACTGGACTCATGTTTGTCCGGACAAAAGAGGAAATGAGATTTTCCACCCAGAGAGGCTGCTCTGAGTAAACGAGTGCAGGTGCGGCTGTGATGTGATGAAGAGTTGGCCTGTTGTGGATCAGGACACAGGCCATGTCCCTGGACAGTGGACACTAGTCCTTCAAAAACAACTGCTTAATTCACTCCCCTGTTTAGAACTGAGTACAGAGATTAGGGCCATTGAATAGACAGCAGAAATGCATTAAGTTTGCACAGTTTGAAGAGCATCTCTTGTACTGAAATTAAACTCCATGTTGATGTATAGTAGCTCTAATCCTATAAGAGTCTTTGCATTGATGGCAAATCTTACAAATATAGGTGCTGCATTTTTTAAATAGAAATTCCAGTTGTTTTTCAGACGTGGGTCTATATAAATTGAAATTTAAAACAATATATATATGGACATGCATATGTAGCGCCCCCAAAACTTGGACATTTAAAGTCCCCCTGTAGTCAAATATTTTATCCCTTAAAACTTATCTTTGATCATCAAAATTACATATTTAAATGTTTTTTCTTGTGAAAATAATTTTCTCATGCCTTAAAATAGCTTGAATGTAACTACACCCTTGCCTCATTTACTATACGCGGATCTATGAATATGCAAATTAGTCCCGCCTCCACTCAGTCACACAGCCAGCGCCTCCTGATCCACTGAACTGTAGTAAACGCAAAACAGTGGCATACACGGATAATGACCGATAAAACTATGTTTTTACTAGCGGACAACTACAGTGAATACTGTAACATTCGTTAAAGTTACTTACTTGACGATGTTGTGTCCTAAAATGCCTTGAAGACTCGAATGCAGCCGTTTGTGATTGTTAATTCGCACCCGCGAGCATACACGTGTGAAGTGCAGACGCCGATGCGGGAGAGGTGGGTCTGACCCCGGGCTACTTTTACACTGTTGCCGCGGGCTATAATGCAAGTTAGCGGTTCTAAATTCACATTAAACCACAGCTTCATGGGTTTTTTGCTCTGATTTATTTTTGGTTTTGTGCTGGTATTGGTATATTTTGCATGCTAGTGATAGGAATTGATCCCTTGACGTGATTGGTTATTGGATTGTGATGTAGCAAACCGAGGTCTGTTTCAAACTGCATTTCTGGGCCACATAGACAAATAAACAACATAAAAAAACTTGATTTTCACTACAGGGGGACTTTAAGCTGCAAATGTTTGAATTTCAATGCATTCAAATCTTAAATCAAGTGTCTGTACCCTAGTGAAAACAAAATATACTAAAATTTATTTGAAATGTATTTATTTTGTGCTAAGTATACTACAAATGTATTTACATATTTATGTGTTTAATAAAAATACCCTGCAGTTGTATTTTTGCTATACTAAACTGGTATACTTAGTCTTCCAAATTTGAACAATTTATTTTTTGCTTAATGCACTTTAATTGTGCAAAAGTAGTGCTGAATTCCAGCTAAACATATACTGCAGTATATTTTATTGAGCTAAAGTGGAACTATTGCAAATATACTTTAAATATCTTGCAACTGATAATACAAAGATCATAGAGACCTTATTAATAGTGATATTAAAACACATTTTAGGCATAATATTAAGAAATGTGCATTGCGCAATAAAGAAATACTCCAAATAAAGTTTCATTATAATTTTATATCAGTCAGTCTTAATTTAGGTCAATAAATATGTTTGAAGTATACTTGATATGAAATAAATGTATTTTAAATTAATTACGGCATAGGACCTTTTTACCAAATCAAATGCTAGAGCTTTTCTGAACTATTTTTGCGTTGACTTTTAACTGGTGTCAAGGTGATTTTAGTGCATGTATGAAGTCAGTTCTCACAGTTCATCACTATCAACATGATCCACCAACATTTGACAACCTTAAACTGTCCAATACTTTTTATCTTGAGTTTGAACAGTATATCTACTGCTTTATCATTTAAAGACTCTTTTGTGGTCTTTCTTTATAATAAATTGCCCTTCCTTTGATATTTTGTATCTAATCCAGTTATGTTCATGCATTAAGTCTGGCTAAAGTGTCCAAGTGTTTGGGATGAACATTGAATGAACAAACAGTCCCATCACAGTGTGTGTATTTGTTTATTTTTGAGAAGCGATCTCTCACTGTCCCCTTTATGTCATTGTAGGTTATTAATACCTGGCTATGTGTGGACACTCTTCTGTCCACACATCGCTAATCTCTGTCGTCTGTGTAAATGTTGTCCTTGTCACAGTAGAAGTGGACTTGAATCGATCCGAATGAGATGCACTAAATGCCGCTTCATGCATTTC